GTTTGAAAACCAAGTCAAAAAATGTACTTTTCGAACACTTAAACTTGAAATAGGCCATCGGAAGCCAAAATCACGTAACAGTCACGAAAAGGCCCGGAAACACCTCAAATACCTCGGGAGGGAGCAATGTAAGTTGTGGAAACTTACGGAACTAGCACGGGACTCCCGATTTGAAAACTAAGTCTAAAAATGCACTTTTTTCACACTTAAGCTTGAAAATAGGCCATTGGAGGCCAAAATCGTGTAACAGCCACGAGACGGCCGGGAAACATCTCAAACACCTCGGGAGGGACCAATGTAAGTTGTGAAAACTTACGGAACTAGCGCAGAACTCCCGGTTTGAAAACTAAGTCCAAAAATGTATTTTTTCATACTTAAGCTTCAAAAATAGGCCATCGAAGGCCAAATCGTGCAACAGTCGCGAAACGGCATGAGAAACACCTCAAACACATCGGGAGGGACCAACATGAGTTGTGGAAACTTACGGAACTAGCACGGGACTCCCGGTTCAAAAACTAAGTCCAAAAATGCACTTTTTCAAACTTAAGCTTGAAAATAGGCCTTCGGGGGCCAAAATCATGCAACAGCCATGAGACGGCCCAAGTAATACCTCAAAAATCTCGGGAGGGACCAAATTAATTTGTGAAAACTTACAGAACTAGCACGGGACTCCCGGTTCAAAAACTAAGCCCAAAAATATACTTTTTCACACTTAAGCTGGAAAAATAGGCCATCGGAGGCCAAAATCGTGCAACAGCCATGAGATGGCCCGGGTAACACTTCAAACACCTCGGGAGGGACCAATATGAGTTGTGAAAACTTTCGGAACTAGCACGGGACTCACGGTTCGAAAACTAAGTCTAAAAATGCATTTTTTCACACTTAAGCTTGAAAAATAGGCCATCGGAGGCCAAAATCGTGTAACAGCCATGAGATGGCCCGGGTGACACCTCAAACACCTCAGGAGGGACCAAAGTAAGTTTTGGAAACTTACGGAACTAGCACGGGACTCCCGGTTTGAAAACTAAGTCCAAAAATGTACTTTTTCACACTTAAGCTTCAAAAATAAGCCATCGGAGGCCAAAATCGTGCAACAGCCACGAGACGGCCCAAGAAGCACGTCAAACACGTTGGGCGAGACCAATATAAGTTGTGGAAACTTACGAAACTAACACGGGACTCCCGATTTGAAAACTAAGTCCAAAAATGTATTTTTTCACATTTAAGCTTGAAAATAGGCCTTTGGGGGATAAAATCGTGCAACAGCCACGAGACAGCCCGAAAAACACCTCAAACACTTCGGGAGGGACCAATGTGAGTTGTGCAAACTTATGGAATTAGCACGGGACTCCCGGTTTGAAAACTAAGTCTAAAAATACATTTTTTTTCCAACTCTTAAGCTTGAAAATAGTCCATCAAGGGGCCAAAATCATTAAACAACCCCGACAAGGCCTGGGGAATACCTCAATTACCTCGGAAGCAACCGTTGTAACTTGTGTAAACTTATGGAACTAGTACGGGACTCCCGTTTTGAAAACTAAGTCCAAAAATGAATTTTTCGAACAGTTTAAGCTTGTAAATAGGCTATCAGCGGCCAAAATCGTGTAACAGGCACGGGAACGCCGCAGAACACCTCAAACACCTCGGGAGGAACCAATGTAAGTTGTGAAAACTTACGGAACTAGCACCGGACTCCCGATTTGAAAACTAAGTCGAAAAATGCATGTTAGATTGTATATTTAATTGATAAGATAATAACTGTTTAACTTGCATTTTTTTTTTGTGTGTGTTTCATTTTTTTTGCAGATTGGAGATTTGATATGGACATGTTTGGTAATTTGGAGAGCAGAAGCTAGCTCATTTTGTATTTTTTTTCATATTACCTTACATGTATTTTGATTGTATTGTAAATTTTATATTTTTGTTGGTATTACAGGATATGTTTGGTAATCCACACTTGATATTTTATTTTTGTTGATATTAGTAGACATGTTTTTTGTGGATATTAGGAGACGTGTTTGGTAATCCGCATGCGGTTGATATTATATTTTTGTGGATATTAGTAGACATGTTTTTTGTAGATATTAGAAGACATGTTTATAATCCGCATGCAGTTCATATTGTATTTTTGTGGATAGTGCTGAAATTCAATTGTGATGTTTATGAAAATGAACAGATTTTTGTATTGATTTGTAATAGATATTTTATTGAACAGGTTATTGAATAGGCCATCAGATAGATTATTGCACAGGTTATTGAAATGCGCAGGAAATTTTTACTGAAAATAAAAAATTTAATATGAAAATAGTACCCCCCTTTTAAATTTTTTAAATTTTTATTAGCGATGAAATGAAAAATGCCGCTATTAGTTTTCAAAAAACATGACGAATAATTTTGTCACATTTGTTGAATATTTCGTCGCTAAATTGAAATATTTGGTGACAATATTTTTTGTCATTGAATAAATTTTTTTCTGCTCATTTTAGTGACGAATTTTTTTGTCACCTTAATCCATATCATTGGTGAGGAAAACTTTCGTCACTAAAATCTATTTGGTGACGAAATTGATATTTTAGAGGACGAAAAATTCAACATTTAGAGATGAAGCATTTCGTCGCCAAAAATGAAAAATAGGCGACGAAACTGTTTTTCGTCACCAGGTACTTTCAGCAACAACGTATAGGTCACGAACGTGGTGACAAATTTTTTTCGTTGGAAATCACTTTAGTGACGAAAATTTGATGTTTGGAGACAAAATCAAATTGTCACCAAAGGTCTTTTTTGTTGTAGTGATTACAAAAAAACCCCAGGGTTTCGCATCTTTTTCATTTTAAATCCCAGATTTTCAATTTCGACATTAAACCCCATACTTCCACCCGTGTTTCATTCTGACCCATCCGTCTATCTCTGTCATCTTATACTAACAGAAATCTAGGCAGAAATTCAGATTCAAACACACAGTTCAAGTATTTATATTTCCCTCGTCGTAATTCCATTTTGCCTTGTTTTTGCATTGTTGGATTTACCTCACGGTCTAGTTTTCATTCCACCCCTCATACGCCTTATTCTATCTTTTTTTACGTGTCGTTGGAGCTCCGAAAGTTGATTAAAAATAAGACTTTTCTCTCTTTAGGTAAAATTTTCAGATTCGAACTCACATGTTCATAACTTGTACCTCCCTCGTCATAATTCCGTTTCGTCTCACTTTTGCGTCGTTGGATTCACCTTATGGCTTAGTTTTCATTTCATGCCTCATATGCAATGTTTCACCTCTTTTTATGTGCTGTCGAAGCTTCGAAAATTGGCCAAAAATAAAATTTTCTCTCTCTAGAAATTCAGTACTATTGCATTCATCCCACTATGCTTGGGACCTGCTCTTCACCCATAACCTCCTTTGAGTGGCAGCGTCACCACCACCACCACCACCACAACCCACTTCCTTCTTCTCCTCTACCCTAACCAGGGCAATCATAACCGCAGCGGCTGTAACAGCAGCCGCTCTTGATTTCCTCATTCTTAACCCACAATCATTTTGATCCAAATGATCATAATTACCTTGTAACTTGTTGTAGTAATCCAACATAGCTTAAGTCTTTTTCTTGTGGTTGGCATAGAATAAGAGCTTGTTTTCTTGTTGAGTCTTTGACCACTCTTCTGAATCAAGCTTTTCTTGCTCGTCAATCAGCAATAGTGAGGTTCTAATCTCTTTTAAACCTTCTTTGTTTTTGTTACCTTGTTGTTTCTCGCTTGATTTATCGCCATAATTGTTTTTATTTTTGTTGTTGATGTTGTTGTTGTTATCTTCTTGTTGAGATAATAATTGTAGAAAGGAAGGATGAAGGAAGAAGCATAGAGATGGAAGATAGAGGAAGAAAGAAAGAAATAAAAAGAGAAAAATATTATTTTTGGCTAAGCTTAGAGCTTTGACGTTACACGAAAAGAGGTGAATCAATGTATATGAGGAGTGGAATGAAAACTAGGTCATGAGGTGAATCAAACGACGCGAAAATGAGGCAAAACGGAGTCACGATGAGTGAGATACAAGTTCTTAAAATTGTGAGTTTGAATATAAAAATTTTGCTCAAAAAGAGAAAAATCTTATTTTTAGCCAACTTTCGGAGCTCCGACAACATGCAAAATGAGGTGGAAGAAGGCGTATGAGAGTTGGAATGAAAACTAAGCCGTGAGGTAAATCTAACGACGTAAAAATGAGACAAAACGAAGTTACAACAAGGGAGATATAAGTGCTTGAACATGTGTGTTTGAATTTAAAATTTTGCCTTGATTTTTGTTAGTGTAATATGATAGAGATGGATGGAAGGGCAAAATTGAAACATGAGTGGAAGTATGGGGTTTAATTTGTAAAAATTGAAAATCTAGGGTTTAAAATGAAAATGGCGCAATACTTTGATTTTTTTTTTTGTAATTAACCCAATTTTTATTTTCTATTTTTATTTTGTCCTTACTTGCCTCTTCTCTTTAAATGATTTATGAAACAAAATAAATTGAATTGTCATTTTTACCAAGGCAGTGGCTTTGGTCCAGTCCAAGATCGGATTGGACCGTGCTTTTGGATCCGTGGGGGCCCACCACGGGTCCCGTTTTGATAATCCGAATCGTTCAATGTGTAGAACTCGTCGAATACTATATACTTGTAAAAAATCACGTTGATCGGATATCGATAACTATGTGAACAAAACAATTTTTTATCAATCGTTAATTTTTTCACCGTCTATTTTTTTTTTATACAAAACTGATTTGATCACATAATTATTGATATCCGATCAACGTGATTTTTTACAAGTATGTAATACTCGACGAGTTCTACACATGAAACGGTTTGAATTATCAAAACAGACTCAAAAAATAAATCCCATAAATTGAACTGGACAGATCCAGTCTTAAACCCAACTTGAGACATGCTGAACGCTATTATCAAATAAGGCTGCTAGGGTTTTGGTTAGATTAACGCTATTATCAAATAAGGCTGCTAGGGTTTTGGTTAGATTTCACTTAAATGTCTATAACGCACACGTGTGCTTCCACTTTTTTGGTACACAATGAGAGCCTCGTAATATCTTCGACATTCGTGTTCTTCTTCGCTCTGCTCTCAGAAGAATTGCTTTGCGAAGAGATAAGATATCAGAGACTCAGACCTGAGGTTCCTATTTACTCTGTATCATCGTCATTTTTAAGCTTTGGTTATGTACGTGTGTGTATATTATATATCTAGATATATGTAATGCAATTTCTATATTGTAGTATTGATTTAGGACGAAAATTCGTGGCTTTACATTGTAAAGTTCTTTTCTTTACGCGACTTCTTTGAATTGATAATTCTCATTCGTGAGCTCTCAGTGAGGTTTAATTGCTCAATTTCATTTATAAAGCTGTTTTCGCGGTGTTGTGTGTGCCATTTTTTGGTACATTCCTTGAATATCTTCTTCATTGGTTTCTTATGATCTGATTTTATGTACATATATGTATATAATTTGATTTTGTTATCATATATATATATATATTTTAATTAGAAGGGGGTGGTGTGTGAATTATGTTTGTAATTTTGTTTAATTTTGGCAGATTTTGCCTCACTTTGTTCAGATCTAAATTATTTTCTCTTTCTCTAGAATTTTGTTAAGTTTTTTATGAATGCAAAACCTCGCCTTCCCAAGTAAGTAGGCTATGCTATGTATAATGCCTTGCCTTCATCATATTTGTTATGAGCATCTATGCTCACCTGAATTAACATTTTCTTCACAACCGCCCCCAAAAAAATCCAATATGCATAAAAGAATAGTTCACAGGAAGGTGCATGCCCTTGTTATTTTCTTTTTGGATTTTTTTCTTTTCTTTTCTCTTTTCCAGGTTTTTTTTTGGGGGTGGGGGGACCACATTCTTGATTTTTTTTTTTTTGTTTTTTTTTTTTTTTCAAATGCATATTATAAGTTATCATGTTTGCATAATCCATCATTTGAGTCTCAAATTACATATCGGATTTGATCTATGGACGAATATGCAAGCATACTTTTTTATGCTTGTTTGAGTAATAATGATGAGATTTCCTAGGGGTGAGCATGGACCGGATTGGTCCGGATTGGGAGAAAATCAGGACCAATCCGTTATATACGGTTGCTGAAAAATTAAAATCAATCCAATCTGTTTAAATTGTGGAACCAATCCAAACCAATCCGTTGAAACACGGATTGGATCGGTTTAGGACCACGGATTTAAATAATTAAATAACAAAAAAAATATAGACATTACATTTCCATTCCAATAGCAACATAGCTACTGAAAACCTATAAACAATATAATTAAGCAACATCCATTCCAATAGCAGCCTGTAAACAATATAAATAAACAACATTCATTCCAATAGCATTTCCATTCCAATAGCAACATAGTTGTTGAAAATCTGTAAACAATATTATATAAGTAAACATGACTTGAAATGAGATTGAAGATACAATTACAAATTGAAGTTTGGAAGAACTCCATGAGTTGTCCACTAAAATTTCAAATACAGTATTTGTACTCTATTTTCTCTCATTCTTTTCTCTTTTCCACTCTTCTGCAGATGTGTTTCTTTTCCATATATTTCTCATAGATAGAACACAAATCAGCTTGAAATTTTTTGGCTGCTTCTCAAAAACTGCAACACTACATTTCCATGAAAAAAAATAAATTTGTCACGAACTAATTGGTCCAAATTTATGAATCTCATATTCAAAAACTGTATTGATCCCACCAAAATTTAAACATTCAAAAATTTTAAACCAATCAAAAAATATATTTTATTAACACACTTTGTAGGTGTGTCTCTCATCTTTACCTAAAACCTCCATCAAACCAAACAGTGGCATAGGTGAGTCTCAATCAAAGAGTACTAGCCTTACCATCACCACCAATGAACCACCAATCAAGGCAGATGTAGGGTAGGGTCACCCAAACACTGCCTCTACATGTACTCCATCTCTTAATGAAGAAGTTCAGAAGTGTTCTTGTAGAGGCTCTCCCCTGGAACCCAAGCCCAATCTTAATGTCTCAACCTGCTTGAGATTGATTACAAACAAAAATAATAGCAGCAACCAACATAACAAGAGCATATAACTTTTTCCTTTCTTCCAATGTCGAGAAAATATGGAACAATTGGAAAAACAAGAGCATATAACAACCCCTGTTCTATAATCTTTTTCCCCTCATTAATAAAAGATGGAAAAACCGAGAAATTATTTACATGAAATACAATCAGACTGATCAAACAAACAACACAAAACAGAGTTGAAATCAGAAAAAATAAAATAAAAATAAAAACAGAAAATAATCTGAGATGGATGATCTGGGAACAAAGGAACAAAAATTGTCACCGATCCGAGAGAGAGAGAGAGAGATGAGAGATGAGAACACCGAGAGAGAGAGAGAGAGCTAGCTCACCGACAGAGAGAGACGAGCAGCAGCACACCGATCTGATCTGAGATGGATGAGAGTGTGAGGGAGAAC